AGCGCGCCTCACGACCCGTCTACCAAGGCCGTCCCTCGGGGGCGTGGGAGTTCAGGCTTGCGGCTTGGCTTTTTCTGCCTCGGGGTTTTCTTTTCAGGGTTTGCTATGTCTTAAGCTTCGGTCTGGCTTTCGGCTTTTCGAAGTGTTGGGTGTTATGGCTGAAGGTTTAGGGCTTCCCAGTTTTAGGGTTAGGGCTGCAAGGATGCCGAGTGTTTTTGCGAACTCGCCCGAGCCCCGGAACCTCGACCTCGGCTCCGGGAGAGAGCGCGTCGGGGGGGGGGGGGGGGGGGGNNGGTTTAGGGTTTAGGGTTAGGTTTGGAAGGCCATTATGTAGAGGCTTTTCTGTAATGCTGGTTCAACTCGAGATCCCTGGTTCAGTGTTCCCTCGACGTAGTGCAGATCTTGGTAGTTAGCGCGACCTCACAACAAAATCAGCAGCTCAGCACCATCGCAGCGCGAATTTGCTAAGTTGTTCGTATCATGTCTCAGTCTGGCAGAGTGCATATCAGCTAGTGCGGCATGTGAACAGGGGCCCTTCCGACTGCCTTCAAGCCCCACTTTATAACTCAGGTGTTATACGTAAAAGGGCGGTATAAGGGCCTTATACAGGGTTCATCGGGTTTCGGGATTTAAGGTTCCATGTAGAACCATGTATGACTAGGAAACCCTTGTCCCTTCAAAAGGTTGAAAGCGAAAGCCCATAATTAGAGGAAAGGGGGTGTGATTAACGCGGAGCTTCGAATTTCGGCGTTTGGTGTTTCGAATCGGGGATTCGCCGGGAATGCCTACGGCCCTAAACTCTAAACCAGAACCTCGAAGCCGAATTCCGAAGCCCTAAAACCCTGAACCCTACCTTAACACCCGAAAACCTAAGGACTTTTTGCAAGGACGCCATGATAAGGAGCCCAAAAGAGGTAGGCTTTCGCAGTTTCAGGTAAGCGCCTAAACCCTAAACCCAAGTAGGAGGCAAAAAAACCCTAAACCCTAAACCGCTAAACCCTAAACCTCTTAGCGCCCTATAACCCTAAACAAGGTAAGGAGACTCGAAAGGCTCACGGCCTCAAAACCCTCACGCCCGAAGGCCCTAATCTGCGTGTGGATAGACCCCTACCTTAACCTACCAAAACCCAGGTTCTGGTGGGTTAAGGTATGACATATTGTGTAATTCCCGAAGCCCCAAACCTTAAACCCTAAATAAACTAGGACTCATTTCAATGACTCGACTGTTTCCTTAACCTAGGATGTGAGATTGGTTTTGAACGTTTCCGGCTTGGGACCCAGCTTGTATTGGTTTCGTGAGAAATGCCTCTGATCGTGAAAGTAGCTCAGCCGTTTTCAGGAGAACGCGTTGCCGCCGGAATCGCCAGAGGCGCTACTCTTCCTTGTTATCCTATCTCCTTCTGATGCGGGTTCCGCTTGCTTCATCCATCTATTTCTCCGTCGCTCTCCATTACTGCTTGCTCGTTAGCTACAACTCCCACTCTTCCACAGAAGCGAACACTTCCTGCATACATTGAACTTTCTTTCTCTGTTTCTCTGTCGCTCTCGTCTCTTGCTTTCTCTTCTCGCTTTCGCTGTATCTTTATCTATGCGTCTAGCTATGGATCTCTATCTCTATATCTTTAGCTTCGGCTTTTTCGTCGCACTTGTGGTAATTCTAGCCTGTATGCCCACACACATTGGGGACTTGGAGTACGCATCTTCCGTAGCGCATGACGCCCATAAGGACATCGCGCATGCTGAACATGCATAGCCGACATAACCTTTTTATTGGGATCTGTGCAGTTGCGTGCATCCGCAATCGCAGCCGAGCTGTGTCCATGCATTAGTGTGTGTGTGTGTGTATGCATGCATGCATGCATGCATGCATGCATGTCTGTATGTATGTATGTATGCATGCATGTATGTATGTATGCCTGCATGCATGGATGGATGGATGGATGGATGGATGGATGGATGGATATGTGTATGTATGTATGTATGT